TTATTAAAAAGTCAATATTACATTTTTGGAATCTCTCTTTAAATAAAAGTTTCTAAAAATCAAATCATGCAAAAACCTATTACAAAATTAACATTATACTTTTGAAATCTCTATAAAAATCCTTTATCAATAAAATAAATAAATGATACCATATCTTCAAAATTGGATTCATTTTTTCTTTCAATNNNGTATTAAAAAGTCAATGTTACACTTTTGAAATATCTCTTTATAAAAGTGTTTCATCAGTAAAATGAATAGACAATATTTTAAAATCGAATAATGCAGAAACCTATTACAAAATTAACATTATACTTTTGGAATCTCTATAAAAATCCTTTATCAATAAAATAAATAAATGATACCATATCTTCAAAATTGGATATTTGAAGATATTCATTTTCTCTTTCAATCGTATTAAAAAGTCAACCTTTGGAATCTCTCTCTATAAAAATCCTTCATCAATAAAACGAATAGACTATATCATACCTTAAAATTCTCATATCATCCATTTTCTCTCTCAATCGTTGTTATCGTACAGAAGCAAGAAGAATATTGAAGAACACTCTTGAAATCTCTCCTTAAGAAACTTTTTCTCAACAACGCACCTGATGAAAACCTGACACGATAGAAGACCTGAAATCTGAGAAAAATTACGATTCGACAATAATTTTATAGAGAAAGTGTAATTCACAATGGCTAATCACTTAATATCATTTAATATCACCAAGCTAACGTGTTGCTGTTACCAATAAAATTGCGTGACCAGATCACGTTCCTGCTAATCGTAACGCGATCGAGAAAAGCAATACAAGTAGCTTGGTTATTGCTTGCTTGAGCTCAATTTGTACCACCTACGGATGCCTCGCCTTTCCGTCACTTTCTCGAGGGCCGTCCATTGTGCGAGGCTGCTTGCACGAAAGCATACCGCCAGGCGCGATATAAAGGCGGGAAATGAAACGGGAAGGCAACGTTGTGTATGGTTTCGGATATGGATTAATGGAGGTATATATATATATATATAT